GAAGGACTTTCTCCTCGGCGGGGGCGCGTGCAATGAAGTGACCTGCATACCTGGAAGGAACCGATAGAGTAATCGAATGACTCGGTGGTCTAGTTATAGTTGCATAATCGCGTTGTCTGACTTAGCGACGTCTTTAACAAGTATCGAAACTCTCTCGTTTGTTAAACAGACGTGCACTGTTAAATTTATAATGTCAGATTATATTCAATTTGAATTATTTTTATTCATTTCTATAGGTCATCATTGCTCTTATTCAATATGTCATTAATTCAACTAAAACAATGGAGGTAACCGATTTAATTCAGGGGATGTATCTGGCTCTTTAGTTTATTATTTCAGTTTATTATTTATTAGGTAAATACATTAATATGGAGACGTTATTTATTTTAAAACTAATTAAGCAATTTCACCATAGAAATGAATTTATTTACATTTGACATATATATATAAATTGAAAAATTGTTATTTATTTAAGGGATTCAGTTACTATTGCTGCTTTGATATCTAACAATATAAAATACAACTAATCAAACAAAATAACTTTTTAATTACAACATTATTTCTTATGTAACTGCTAGAAGAATAATAAACAAAAATGATAAATAAATATTCAGAAGACTTATAATCTGTTTATCATCCGTAACAAATAAAGAGCATTCGACTGCAAAGAAAATTCCCATGTCCTTTACAATGCTCTCACAATTTCGGAATCTGCTACTCCGAGCGTCTGTTAATTTGTTTGTATATAGAAAATTAACTCGAAAACCCCGGTGGGACCTTTGAAACTATTCCGTCCGTGCAACGATTCGATCTCCAGGTCGTGTCAGTTACAACGAAAGAAGAGGAACCCACGGGTGTAAGATCGGGATCAGATCAGATCCTTCGAGCGTGCAACCAGCTATTATATTCGCCGCCCACGGAGGCGGACCGCAGATCCATATAGAGATATTTCGCGCGAGGCGGTTTCGCACATTTAATTGATGGTGCTCGACGACTAAAGGATGGACTTTTCGAAAATACAATATACGATGTAATTGAAATAACGACATCTCCGCGCGAGCAATGATTGTTAAAGAACGATTATTATCTTTATTGTTTGTCATCGTGTTTTACACGAAAGGAAAAGATTAGATCCAGCGACAAAATTCAAAATTTGTAAATAATGTTTAAGTTTAAATTCCTTCGTGATTCTGGACTGACTGTTCCATAGCAAAATGCCTTACTCGTTTCCGTGAAGCAATTACCTCGTGTCGGGGACCACCCATGGCGGTTAATCACGACGGAATTTTTCATACAACTACAGGGTGTCTGAAGCATCGCTCGTGTCAGCGTATCTAGAACTGTCAATCGCAGTAATTCGGGGCTGTGATCTACGTGATGGCAGAACGTGAGAGATCTACGGTGATCAAGCCGGCGATTAGATATTTCGAGGTGCATCCAATCGTTGCATCCGCTGATTGCGAGACTCGTATGCAGATTCCAGCGCGGATACTACGAGGTACAGGGCTTGTAGAAATGTAGGGGACTTCGATTGACCGGTATACACAAGGTAAGGGATATGAGGCAAGAATTAATAGGAATTTAACGAGATTCAAAACGACGAATAATTATTATAATGATGCTCTTGCAAACTAATAAATATTAATCACCCGCCGTAAGTTTCAGTTGTATTTTTATATACTCTCTAAATCTAGTGGAGTGAAATTTCACTCGAAGAGACTGAAAATTTAGCCTGTCTTGGAAAAAGAGTGAAAATATGGCTACTCTTGTTTAAGAGTGGCAGATTTTCACTCTTTTTAGAATGAGATTACTCCAAAGGAGTGAAATCTTAATCGCTTTTTTAGAATGTAATACCAGGATAGATGGAACTTCACTCCAAAAAAGGGATTGAGATTTTACTTCTTCGGAGTGAATCTCGTTCCAAAAGAGTAAATCTCACTTTAAAAAGAGTAAAAATCTGTTATTCTTGAACAAGAGTGGCCGTATTTTCATTCTTTTTTCAAGACTAAATTCACAGACTAAATTTTCAGTCTCTTCGAATGAGATTTTACTCCACGAGATTTAGAGAGTATATAAAATATACACGGAAAAACGGTTTTGCTGACATTATCTAAAAATTTGTAGCTAAAATACAGATCTGAAAATGTTTTTTGTTGGACGTCATCAATATAATATTATGTAGAATGTTTCAACGTTGTTAAAAACGCTGCAAAATATTTTGGCATAGCAATCAGTTTGTGCGTCCTACATAATTATTTTAACCAAACAAAATTACTTTCAGATCTATATCTTTATAGTTAAATTTTTAGATATTTTAACAAAATCATCCTTTCAGTGTAATGTTTAAGCTGTGATATCGTAGACGTTTTCAATTACTGTTTAAAAATCAAATGATTAATGAGCAGTATAATGTGATGTATGTAGATTAATAAAAATTAAAGAACGCGAATACATAAGAAATAGATTGAAGAAAATATCATCTTTCCACCGTCTTCTAAAACGCACTCCGGAGTAAAGTGATTTACGGGAGGAAAGATATGCCACTCCGAGATTGAAGAGGCTTGTCTTGCGCGAAAAATATTTTCAATTTAACATATGAAAGACAAAAAGAAACACGAGAGCGTTTCCTCGCCGCGCAATTTTGTACTATTATCCGCAGTATTTCTTGAAAGCTCAGCATCAGCAACAAACCAGTGATTTAATCGTTCTGTCCACAAGTATTTACGTTGTGTGTGTATGTGTGTTTGTGTGTGTTTGTATGTATGAATATGGAAAATATCTTAAGAATAAATTAATTTCAAGGATCGCCTCTTCCTGAGCGGCTCGTAATCGAGAGACTCTCGTTCGGTTAGTACGTTTCATATTTTACGTCTCTATTAATGCATGTGCGCGTAAAAGGATTTGCGTGAAGGATCATTGGCATATACAATTTTGTCTGACGTAAGTATTAGTTCTTTAATCCACATAGACGTTTCTTCTTTTTCGACACCGGACACCGCGCATTGTCCACAAATAGCGAGTGTATCCTGTAACGGACGTCGGACACAGGCTAATGCGATGTCGTAATTCTCGTTTTTATACCCACAGCACGTCCCGCCGTAAGACGCGAGCATTTATCTTATTTAAATCGCACGCTTTTGTGTATCCGCGAGGATACGTGCCACGCGAGGATCGTGTCGCTCGTTTTGGATTAGCGCGCGCGTTCCGGTTCCGCCGGGAGAGATTGCTCGTCCAGCGCTATTTCTCAGCTGGAATTGCGAAAATCCACCTTCGGGGATATTCCTGGACAAAGAATTGTAACTCACGTGGCGATTCTATGAAAATACGATGCGTGAAATTTGGACAAACTTTCGTGAAGTTTTTCTTCGATCAATTTCTCTAAAAAAGTATAAGAAATATAACGTAAAATTACATTAATATGGTCTGCACTGAAAATGTCGGAATATTCGCAAGCAAATAGCTGCCTTTGATAGAAAAAAATAGCTTTGCAGCTGTTGTAAAATTCTTTTAGATAATAAGTTTATACATTTAGATTCAGCAAGAAACTAAACGCAAGACCAATTATGTTAAAGAATCTTATAACAGTTGCAAAGCTGCTTTATCTGATGAACGCAGCCAATGTTATGACGTTTTCTCCGATATTCGATGGTTATAAAAAAATTTGATTATAATGACGAAATATATATTTTTGTAAAATATATATTTCATTAATTGTAAAAAATAAAATAAATAGTTTATTTGCTATAAGAATAAAATTTTATTTTACCATATTTAAAGATTTATTTTAGTAAAATAAATAATCAAATCCCACAAATAAATTTTTAAGTATCTTTTTCTCATTGATAGTGTATTTGTTGTTTGTAGTTTATATGGATAATTAAATCTTACAGCCATGTAAATATTCAAAATGTCTCATATTTTTAATTAGTGTTCAGAAATAAACAATTTTCCCGGCTGTCCCAACAGTCCCGGCAGTCCCGGCAGTCCCGGCTGTCCCGGTTGTCCCGGCTGTCCCGGCAGTCCCGGC